TTTAATATCATCTGCACTGCAATATCTAACAGGCACAACAGGGGATATCTATGATGGTGTGAAATGGTTAATCCCTGAACGTCCTTACTTAAAATAAGTCATCTTGGTCACATCATTCGCATTAGTTTACTGTACCTCTTTTTAAATTTAATTATATGTACCAAATGTTCTACAAGAACATGCCATGTTGTCTGCTATCTATTTTGGATTATAAGCATCAACCAGCTTGTATATGATTAAATTAAATCTTTTCAGTTGTTTGCTTCTGCAGCTAAAACACCTTTCTATGAATGAAGGACTAAATATAGAGGCTTTTGGTACATTACTTGATACCTTGATCGGTTCTGCAATGACAGGTTTTTCAACAGAGATCTGAGTGTGGAGTAAAGCTCATGAAGGTTTAGAGCTTCCTATGCTGTGCAAGAAATCACAAGCTAAATAAACATTAATCATTCAAACACCATACTTTTCCCCTCTGTTACATAATTGTTTTATTAAACACATTAAAGCTGCAGTTTGCCTTGGACATTTGACAGCAATTCTACAAAGCACTGAAGCATGTACTTAAAGCCCACTGAACAAATGCTACATGCTCTTTTTTCAGTGGATACGGACTGCAGAATTGGGGCTTTGGAAGCTAAATATTTTGGGCCTGATCTTGCTTGCATTAGTCAGTGGAAGTAATGGATGCCATGAAGTAGTCACAGGTGTTTGAATCATGTACAGCAACTAACAAAGTGAAATATTTTTTTTTTAAATTCAGAACATGAAGGCTCATGAAGTTATGCCAATGATAAATCTGGCCCTAAAGTTGGCTCTTAGGAATTATTTTTTATTTGCTTTTATTTCTTGAAGACTTCTCAAAACTTGCAAATAGTTTTTAAAAAATAATGGTAAAGCTCTGATATAAAAGCCTTACAAAAATTATTCTGACTTTCTGAAAGAGTTGTAAAAATATTTACAGTACATCTGGCAACATGCATCACAACAACTTGTATCCCAAAATTTCAGCCTGTTATGAAATCCTATCAGAACTCCTCCCTCTTCCTATGAAAAACAAACCCTTATAACAGAAAAGCCAAGTGTTAAAACGGATAAGCAAACAATCAACACTGATAAAATATATGATAGTACAATTCAGTTCACAGTTATATAGAGGATTACTGCTCGTTTATTTGCCAGGGATCTGAATTTTTCAGATTACCCTAAGAATTTCATAATCACTAATATTCAGTACAAAAGTGAACAGACACCTTTGTTAAAAGGTACCAGAATCTCTTTTCTTTAAAATAACAACTTTCTGTAGTTTGGTGATGAAACTCCTCACCAGTCACCGCTGCATACACAAGAGAGTGAAAAGTAATCATGCATCATGCCTCTTTACAATGAAAACCTTCCCCAGCTGTCCATACCTCCTTTCTAGAGTGATCAGAGTCGCTTCTGTTCATATGGACTCGAAGGCTCCTGTGTCTAAGAATCAGGATTTCCTTTGCCTGCTCTGCTGTCCCACTTTCTCCAGGAAGGTTATGCCTGTTATATGCTGGGACCTGCTCACAGAAATCAGAAAACATATAGATCCAGCATCCACTGAAGTCAATGGGAGTTTTTCCATTGAGTGGGCTTTGTATCAGCACCATATGTCACAAAAATAAATTTCCCACATGTCAACTCTATTTTCACTTCCCCTGGTGTAGACATTGACTATGCTGGACATAATCCTGCTTCAGATGGGTGGCAAAAAACAGACCTTGACTCTTTTGTACCTGTTTTTAATTAATTTCCCCCAAAATCTTCTCTTGTTGCCTTTCTCAGCACAGTAACAAGACAGAAGGTGGTAGCTCTGTGCCAAGACGCCCACTTTTGCCCCACACCCCTACCAATTTGGTACTTCATGCCCAAGCCAAGAAAGCAAAGGCTTTAGTTGCATTTATGAAATCAGGCTCTACACACCATATAATCAGTGCTGGGCTGGGCTAGGGTAGGGTAGTACAATTGTTCTGCAAGGATTTCTCATACACCCAAGGGTGAATGTTTCATGGCAAAACTATTGAATATCTTTAAAATGTTATTATTATAGGGTCATTTAATTATTACTATAGGGTCATGCATCACTTGCTGAGGTCTTTGCATACACCAGGGGCTCCCTGCCCCTCCTCTGGTCCTCTCTCCACTGATAACCATATGTACCACCCATTCCCTTCCCTTTGGGGCTCCCTGAAACCCCCCACCACCTACTCCTTCCATGGTTCCCTCCCCTGACCAGAAGTTGTATTTGCTCCCTATATCCCCCACTTCTGAGTGCCCCTCTATTGCTCCCTTTGCCACATACCAGGGTCTGTGTGTTCTCCATGCCCTCCTTCCCCCACACTACAGTCTCCTAACCCAGGCCAGAGGCTCTGTGTGCCCTCCCATTCCCACTCTCCTCTCTATAGCTCCCTTCCCCCCACACCATGATCCCACATTCTCCCATCCCTGCTAGGGACTCTGCATGCACAGACATATTCCCTTCCTCGCCCCCTTTTCTCTCTTTCACGATGCCAGCATTTATAAATTGTATGGAGAGGGTGCACAGAACTAAAGCCATCTCGTTACACACACAAACAGAGAAATGCCAACAAAAGGAGTGTTTATCTTCACTTTGTTTAGAGGGAGACCTTTAGTAGCATATCCAAATCATCTCAATATCAGTGCATGCTGCTGAGAGTCAGAATAATAATATTTTACAATTCATATAACTGCTATATTGTAGCATGAATGGGAAAACCTTACTGTTCTTCTTATTCGGTATAGGTTTCTTGACAATATTTTCTGTATATTTTCCAGCACATCTGGATTCATAGAGTCTGATTCTTTGACCACTACGGTAGATCGGTGGCTGTCACTGCAAAGAAAACACCTGTGTTCTTCATCAATGCTTCATGAATGAGGTAAATTCCAAAGGCACGTAAAGAAGCTGACGTTACAATTAGCAGCTTGTTTGCTGAGCTGATAGACTACTACAAGGAAACTGGGCTGGTGAACAGCAAGATGCATAGTAGAGTAGAAATGTCAGAGTAGAGTAGAAATGTCAGGGGGAGATGGAATCACAGTCCTGTTACTTTAACTTCTGACATAATTGCCCAGACTTGCCATTATTTTCTCCATAATTTTTGAATGATTTTAAAGTTTGCCACCAAATGCATGTAATCTGTTCAGGTACAACATTGCGCACAACTTGCTGGGAGTTACACACACATGCTTGCCAGGAGAAAACTGTGAGTTTAGCTCCTCTGGCACAGCAGTGGGACAATTCACCAAAAGAACTTTCTTTACATCTGTCTAGGCTACATCATTTCTTCTCATGGAGCAGCCAGTAAGCAGGGGCATAAAGGGCAGGGAATTCATTAACTGTTCCGTCCAAGAGGATGGGCTATGCAGGTGCAGGATCCCACCCCCCCAAATCCTGAGTATCCACTGGGAAGAGAAAGTTATCCCTCATACAATGGATGCAGAAGCATTTACATTGAAATAAGGGTCAACATAGCTCCCTCAACATCTGCCCACAATCTGTGCTGATTAGCTATTAGGCAGCTGCGGCAACTGCAAACCATTGAGCTTCAGGTAATAATGCTGCTTTAAGATTTGATGTGTGAGGGTCCCCTCCCCTGCCCTCAGGTTATGTATAGCAAACCTCTTTCCTCCACCACACCCAAAAGTGAGATTAACTGTCTATGTTAACACCCCAAGCAGACAACAAACAAGAGCTGGTGACCCAGCTACTCTATGGAATCATGCGACAAATTCAACTTTCATTAGGAAATTTACATAAATTGATATTCCATTAGGGTTCTGATATAAAGTTATTGTACAACCATCATGTGCCAGGGGACTGACTAGCACTTTCATCTTTCAATGGGCGAGTCGCACAGAATGGATAAACCAAACATGGATTAACTGAATCTGGTTCAAATGGTTAAACAATAAAACTTTTACAATTTTTAAAAATATTTCTTTTAGTAATCTATATTTTACATAATGCCATGGACATGCCTCTGTCTGTGTTACAAATGGATACCAGTGTGCCTGTAGTCAGGATCCCCAAGCAGGGAATCAACCACCCATCAGCCTTTGTAATGTGAAGTGATTTGTGTGTGTCACTACACCAGGCCAGGGAAACAAACACTTACAGCAAAGATGTATGGGATGGCTCATGAATTAGCTGCCCTGCTTCCACTAGCTCAATGGCATGTTTCCTCTCTAGCTTTTCATAGAGCAGCACAATACTTGATTTTGGCTGGTCATACTCTCGGAGTAAGAACTTCTGAAGATATTTGCTGTTGAAATATTCCAATCTGTTCAGGGACAAAAAATAAATAAAATAAAAACCTCTGCTGTACGAATACTGCAATGCTCATGACTTGAAGGAAACAAAAATAAAACACTACTGTGCAGAACCTGCAATACTCTTGGAACAAAATTGCACTCTCTCATTCTTTCTTTCTCATGTCCCAGAACTGGTTCTGGCACCTGGCTGCTGTTCCTGTACATGCCTCATTTCCAGCAACTAGTGGGTCAGGAGCCCAACCCTGCCCTCCCTGCTTTGTGGGTGTGCAGATAATGCAGGGTTGTGCCCCACATGGACTAGATAGTGCAGCACATGAAGTTACAGCGTAGGTTATGGGAAGAGAAGAAAGGAGTCCTCTGTCAATGAAGTACCACCATGCATGACATCCCAGCGGAGGGAGGAACAGGAACAATCTGTTCTGATTTGGTGCCCAGACTACCTGGTCCCACCTTTTGAATTTAAGAAAAGAAAAACAAAGCTGTCCCTCTTTGTTTGTGGCTGTCATCTGCTTTACGACACATGGATGAATGAAGCTCAGATATCCCCCAGTGGAATCTATGGAAACAGAAACCAGACTCCTTTTTTTCAAACATGTAAGCAGTTGTATTTTTGGCAAATCCTTACTTGTCTTTCCAGTAATACTGTCCCCAGTGTCCAGATATATCTTCTATGCCAGCCAGCAAATGATCCAAGAACTAAACAGAAAAGAGGATTTTGCTATACACTGGTGTATTATTGCATATATGACGAACTCTGTTAGATAACATCAAAAGCCAGCAGAGGAAATAGGGGACATTTTCAGCTACGTATAGTAAACTGTAAAAAAGAACAGGAGCTGTCTACATGATTCCCCATTCAAACATCTATGCATATTTCTTGGTCCTAGAATACAGTGAGCAATTTGGTTTCTTTCTTTGCACAAGCAGAGAATAATCACTGAGAGGCATGTATCTGTTCTATATGATGCATGCAAGTTAGCCCATGTTCTGCAGAGCATGATTTGATGAGCTCTGGAAGCTTCATCATGAATTCTTGGAGAACAATGTGTTTCAATAAAGAGACATATTTGGTGTATAGGTGCTGACTACATAGGACTAGGTTCTACTAGACAGAGTAATAAACAGCTACTAAATAAAAATCAATGACTATATTGCATGTTAAACTCAAACAGCTTAGGTTTGCGTTACAAATTTTGAACGGGGAAATTTTCAACTTTAAAAATGTCTGAATTTCCCAAATTGCCTTTCCAGCTATCATCCTCAGTACAACAGGCTCTGCTAGGCCACTTTTTGTTCCTGTGCAGCTTCATCCAGCTGTAGTTAGAGAAATCTCCTTTTGCAGATAGAAACATACCAGGCTTTCAGCAAATAGCTGTTAATCCTGTGGCAGTGCTCTCCAATCAGTCTCCTCCACTCTGACTTGCCCTGCAGCTACTACACTGCAACCTAACATGGCTTCAGATTAGGGTTGCCAGATGGCTGAAAGAAAACTACCGAACACGCCCCTCCCCCTGCATCGGGAAAAAATTCTGTTGAAGGGGGGAAAAAAGGGGAGGAGACCAAAGTTGCTGAGCAAAAAAAAAATTTAAAATAAACCAGCATTAAAACCAGCATGTTCCCTTTAAGTGCAGGGATAGGAACAGGGGAGTAGTTGAGCACTAAGACCCATGCTTACCTGGTTCCCCTAGGTCTTTTGGCCAGCAGCCATTTTGTGCCAGCAGCCTTAGGGAACCAGGTAAGCATGGGGACTGGGGGTGTTGGAGGCCAGGCCCTGAGTGTTTGTAGGGTTGCCAGGTACCCGGCACTTTCGCCTCCTGACCAGGGGAAAATTCAGAAAATACCGGACATTTTAGGTGTCCGGTATTCTCTGATTTTTTTTACTGGACAGGATCCAAAAATACCAGACTGTCTGGGTGAATACCGGACACCTGGCAACCTACTTCAGATTTGTGTTGGGCTACACCTTGTCACAGTAAAGTAACTCAGCTGAGCTAAGAGAACTGAAAATCACATTCTTTTTGCCCATCAAGACGGGGTCTTTAAAAAGTGGCTTAGGAGGTGGAGTCCCATGTTATGCCACAGAAGTTTTTTTCTTATTTCTCTGTTACATTTATAGGGTTTCATTTTTAACTAGGTAATAAATACTAATAAGACAATACTTGGTCTCCCAGGCTGAGGTTAGTTTGAGTAACAAATACCCAACCCTTCTTTTTTGGATAAGTAAGTGAATTAGATCAACCATGTAGTTATTAAAAGGTAGGGGATGCCTGCAGATATTACTTTTCTAACCCGCCCTCACTTTTTCTGCTTTCAAATCAGCAAGGATCAGATGCCACTGACAGGTATGTATTATTATTATTTTATTATTATTATTATTTGTACAGCACTAGCAGCGTGGTGCTGGCAGGCAATTGATTCCTGTGTAGGGTGGCTACAAGCCATTCTGTACTTCATCTGGAAAAGTTCTGGGAGGGGCGGAGCTGGCAGTTCTTTCTCAAAGGGTGCTGGCCTAGATGTCTGTGAGAAGTTAGAACTAGCAGGGAGGAAAATAGGGATTGGACTGTGCATCACCTTTGCGGATGGCTCACATCCATTCTCAGCCTCTGTCACGGATTCCCCAAGGCAGTAGGTCGCACATCTACTCACATTCATGGGAATCCATTTTCATTTTTGCAGAGGCAAAAGTTCCAGCTGTTTAAGGGCTGCAGAATCAGAGCCACTCTTTCTAACACTAACACAACAAATGTTTAGTTTAAAAAGTCCTAAACTGAATCCTTCAGTCAAAATGGTAAAGTGGGATCCAAATGGAGTATTACAATTAGCCCCTCTGAAAAAATAAAGGAAGAAAGCTTCCTTTGGGTTCCTGTGTGCCTGCTTTCTAGCTACCTTGTGTTGTTATCTTGTCTACTTAATTAGTACATAGCAGTTTGCAGCTCAAGTTACCCAATAAACACATCTTAAAGATGATTTAGTATTCATGCGCTAACAAAAGAAGGAAGTGTTTCCTGTTTGCTATAGGAAAAGCCTCTTCAGCCTATTGAACTGTTCCATTAACCTTAGACAAAGCCCCATAACACATACTAACTGGGAGAAAGCCAGGCTTGTTTCCTACAAGTGCTTTCAAAGCAAACACCTGTGTTTTCATTTTGTTTGTTGTTGGTGCCATCATAAAGAGAGAAAATATTCTTTAGGAATCAGTACTCAGGTAAAAATGATTTACCACAACAAAAAAAATCTATTCATAACTAGCACTTTAACTTTGACAAAATGCTTCAACGGACACGGCCTAGTAAAAAATCCTACTATCATGATACCCGCTATTGTTTCAAGCAGGTACTCTGAACCTCTGCTAAACTGTAAGCAGAGCATTTCTCTAGCAAGCTGGAATTCTCTGTCTGCCTATCTGGTGTTGGCAGCTCTACATCACCCTTCCCTGGCCCCACAGCATAAGGGCAGATCAGAAGTGCATGGGCACTTGTCCAGAGCACACTGCATTCCAGCAATTCCAGCTGGCCTAACAGCCCATAAGGGAATTTAGACCAGCCCTGAGACTGGGACAAGTATAAAGCTCCCAACCTTCATTCCCTGCTCTCAGCTGAAATTTGCCTCAGCTGAGAATGAAGCCCATTTTATCCTGGAGGCAGGAGAAAAAGGAATTGGCCTGGAAGTTTAAACATACGGGCATTACTGATGACTCTGCCACTACAGAGTGACTATGGGCAAGTCATTTAGCCTCTCTGGGCTTGTTTTTCTTTTGTTCAGGTAATTGTTTAAAAGTGGTCTCGGGGAGGCTGTGTCTGGAATTCTAGTGTGTTCACTGCTTATATTTTAGAGACTGTTCATATTACACCATATCAGATCTACCAATGCTGAAACACACTAAATAATTTTTTTTTTCAGTTACATGCAGACTCTATTGCTCACCACAGACATGGCTGATATCTAATCTCAAATAGGAAATGACCCAAGTCTACCAAATTGAATTAGTTTGGAAGTCTGTACCAATGTGTTGGGGAAACTGCATACACTGGCTTTTTAAGTGTAATAATCCCTTGCAGTTTGAAGCTAAAAACTAATATCCAATTAAATTTACCACTTCTTCAAGGCACAGCCTTACTCTGGGACTCACATGGCAACTTTTTGCAGGCTACTTGTGCAGCACTTGTGAAGAAACACAGACAGCAGGTTTGCAAAAAATGTTGTGGTGCCCAGAATTCCCACAGCCCACTCTGAAACTCAAACTCTCCCTCCCCTCCACCTACCTAAGGCCGTGAGAGGGAGTTTGGGTGCTGCACGAAGGCTCTGGACTAGAGCAGGGGATTGAAGGGCAGAAAGGGGCAGGCTCTGGGAGGGTGTTTGGTTGTAGGATGGGTGATGGTAAAGTTCTGTGGAGGCTTGCGTGCAGGTATGGGTCTGGGGTGCAGGCTCTGAGAGGGGATGTGGGTGCAGGTCTGGGGTGCAGGCACTGGGAGGGGATGTGGGTGCGGGTATGGGTCTGGGGTGCAGGCGCTGGGAGGGGATGTGGGTGCAGGACAGGCTGAGAGGTTCAGGCTCTAGGATGGAGTCTGGGTGCTGGCTCTGGCCTGGGGCAGGTGGTAGGATTCTTGGGTGCAGGCTCTAGGAGACAGCTTGGGGACAGGACTGGGGCTGGAGGAAGAAGATGCAGGCTCTGGAGGGAGTGGGGTGCATAAAAGGGTTGTGGGGGAGTTGAGAGGGTGCCCACTTACCTAGGGACACCCCTCTGACAATGGCTGGGGGGGGTCTCCAAGTGCTGCTGGCCCACATGCTCCCCCAGCCCCACTGCTCCTGTGCATCTCCCAACCTCACCTGCTGCTCCTGGGTGAATTAAAACAGAGGGAGCCACCACCACTGGCAGGGCAGCAGGATTAGAGCAGCACACGACACACAGACCCCCCACTCCTGCCTCCTCTTGGCCACAGGAACACACATGTCGGCAGTTGGGGTGAGTGAGGGTACGTCTACACTACAACATTATTCGAACTAACTTAGTTTGAATTAGTTAATTCGAACTAATCTAATTCGAACTAATGGATCTAGACTAAAAAACTAGTTTGAATTAGCGTTTTGTTAATACGAACTAGCATGTCCACATTAAGTGGACCCTGAACAGGGCTTAAGGATGGACGGAAGCAGTGCCAGCAGGGCATCAGAGGAGGACTTAGAGCGTGGAGATGCTGTCTCAGGTTAGCCAAGGGCTGTGCTTAAAGGGTCCCGACCCCCACCCCGGACAGACAGTTCTCAGGGGTGCCCCGCTTGCAAAGCAGTCCTGGCTTGGAGTGCCCGGAGTACCCACACTGGGCACATCACACCACTCGGCCATCAGACCGGCTGCACTTGCCGCAGGCTGCCATCTGGGGAGAGGGGGCAATCG